GTCGACTTTCCCACTCCAAACTGGTTTGCGACCGACCGGTAGCTGTCTGGAGTTGCCAGCTTCCAGATTGCAATAGCCACCCACTTCTCCACTGGCAGGGCACCTCTCAATCTCGTGTCCTTGCGCCGCAGGGTGGGGGCAAGCTCCTCACACAGTCCCACGAAAGTGGCTTTTCTCATCCGAAAGTTCTGCAGCCACTGCTCGTCATCCCAGATTTCCATGACGATGTGATCCCACCACTTGGTGCTTGTTTCCCGAGCCCAAAAGCGGCGTTCCACGGTGCTGGGCATGTCCGTGAATGCCACAAACAATTTCGTGTCATACGCATTACGCGGCTCGATAGCATCGTCGGATTCCTCACTGTCACTGTCACTTTGGATCTTAAGGTATAATTCGACAGCCAAATGTGACGTGCTGGCGAGACTGCTCAGCAGTTCGGGCTCCATTTCCCGCAGACAGATCGCGCTGCACAGAAACCGTTGAAAGATGGCGCCAAAGGTGGACGGAAACAAAGGGATTTCTGGGATGCGAAGCGATGCATCACGGGGCATTGGGGCAGGACCCAGAATCCCCGGCACCCACGCCCCCTTCCCACAACCCACGGCACCAGAATGGGAAAAGGTGCTCTGTGGGATAGCTCCCAATAGTGCTGCAATTGCCGCAAATCTGGCTACGACAGTGCGCTGGGCAGCTGTCAGTGTGGACAGACTGCAGCGCTTTCCCTACTCAGCTGCACAAAGTCAGGTTTAACTCACAGTGCTGTACATCTGCAAGTGTAGCCAAGGCCTGACCGGTGATGGAACTGCCAGCAATGTAACTCTGCCAGTGTAGACATACCCTTAGATTAGGAGATCTATGCAATTGTGAATGGGGAGAGAAACTGAGCTATTGTCTCAAAATGTGGTCACACCAACTAAAAGTTTGACAGCCTCTGTCCTAGGCTGATAGCTCTCTGACATGAATGAAGCAAGGTGCCCAAACCTATACCCTCTCCCCTGGGAGTTGGAATTTTGTTTATAAATAGAGTGATTAACAGGTGATTAAGATAAGAAAGGGCTGTTAGGATGTCCCCTTAGTTAAATGATCTGTTCCAAGTTTCAGAGTAGCAGCCAGTGTTAGTCTATATCCGCAAAAAGAACAGGAGTACTTGTGGCACCTTAGAGACTAACAAATTTATTAGAGCATAAGCTTTCGTGGACTACAGCCCACTTCTTTGGATGCATATAGAGTGGAATAAATATTGAGGAGATATATATACACACATACAGAGAGCATAAACAGGTGGGAGTTGTCTTACCAACTCTGAAAGGCCAATTAAGTAAGAGGAAAGATGTTCAGATGTTCAGGTGAACGAGCCCCTGATGGTATGGCTGATGTGATTAGGTCCTAT